ATCGACACTGTAACAATACAAAACTGGTTAAAAATCTATAAACTTACACTTCTGTCACACATATGCAGAGAAAAATATCCATATATCTTTACAAGCGTATTATTTCTGTATTATTAATGTATTGTGTCACTATCCAGTTTATTAAGTCAAACTAACCTAAATCTAAATGTATATGAGGTTTAACTTGAATGAAAAGACATATTATCCCCAATACCCTGCACTTTTATCATTTTAGACAAGTTTTTTGTTTCAAAAATGGACACTGAATTGAAATCTTATTTTTGTATTCCCCATAGTAAATGGATGGGCAACTATCTACCTTATTTTTCATCATAGAAGTCAGATATTTTCTGCAAATGTGCAAGACCTCGGATTCATTGGCTGTTACAGGTGACTAAATAGAATAAGAGTATTTAGACGAACCAGTGTTTTTATGGTTATGATAATAAATGAAAATAATATGATATATATTGGTTTACAAAATCAAGCAGCAGAACATACTGTTTTTATATAGTTTTGTACAAAAAGAATAGCTAAATCCTGTCCCCATTGTGAAAAAAAATCAAAGCTTTACATGGTGAAAGCGGTTTGCAAATATCAGCTGTATACTTCTTGTGTGCGGTTCCAGCCATCAATGTTTTTAAAATTTACAAGTACACAAGTTACAGTAGGATGCTAAACTGCAGCTCTGGAATACAAAGAGCAACATTGTGTGACCATGCAGTATATCCAAACAAGAGAAAACTATGCACACAGAAATTCAGGAGTCTTTGTGCTAAATGATTACCTATATCTTAAAATAGAGAAAAGCAATTAAATATCCAATGTTTGCCCATACATATTCAGGACTGGCCGATTCCAACAAAAAATGCTGATATAATCCTGGATATCATTTAACATAAACTTTCACAATAGATTCTGACATTAAAACCCTTTAACTGATATCTCTACCGTACGGTTGAACTTAATTTGATAGGGAATAAATCTTTCAAAAGGAAGAGATGAGAGAGCAATCTTTCCACAGCTGTACTGCCCCATCTCTGTGTCTGCTGTTGCCATCGGGGGTTTGGGAATTTCCAGTTTTCAAGTGGCAGCAGCAGTTTACAAACTTAAGTCAGTCACACTGAAGGGAGAATGGTGCTGGTCAGTCATCAGATAATAGGGTCAAACAAGTAATCAAGGAAGTAGAGATGAAACCATAATGTTGTTGTGAATAGGGTAGAGGGTAAAGAACAGAGATATAGCAAAATATATGAGAAATGCAAAATTGTTTATTTACCATAATTATCCAAAATCATGCGTGACCGTACGGTTGATATGTCTGTAAAGGACATCATATAGCATATATATAGCCATTCATCTACATATATTATAAAGACGCTTAAATATAATTTTTTGTCTTTGTGGACCCTGAAGGTTATGAAATGTATCCAAGATACTAATAAAGTTAAAGGAATGTTTATTATTGGAAAAGAACTAATAGAAATAGTTCTCTGAATTTAAATCAAGATTTACCATGGACTGACAGCTCAACCGTACGGTAGAGTTTTATATAAAACATAAATTTAAAAAAAAGTGCCTGGGGTTATTTATTAGATGTCTACTAATAAGAATTTGAAGTTAAATAATTTTTTCATTAGCTCCTTTTAGGGGTGAAAGTTAAAGGGTTAAAAAAGACTTTAATAGGACACCTGAGCTTGTTTGCCTTTAATACATTTTAAGCTAAAGAGTGAAATCACAGAGAATCTTTCCTTTAAAAATAACTAACAGTGATTCAAACCCCCCTGCGAACTGTTGGATGGGAATCACTGAGCTGCAGCGTTATAGTCTAATTATATCTGTTTTGTAGTTTATTACAGTTTGACAGTCTGACTGGCAGAAAGTAATATCTGCTCATACTCTAAAAGCAATGTTGAGAGACTGATTTTCAGTAAGCAAAACTGACTAAATATTACAAATAATCATCTACATGTCTTTTGCCTCCAAGCAAACACACAGAAACTTTAGTTTAGAGGCTTATTCATTTCCAAACTTTCTCCAAAAACAGCAAAAAAAGAGAGAAAACTTTCTTCAAAATGGTGAATTGGCAAATATTTTAGTGTGAAAACTTGCTGAAAGACTTTTGTTTGCAGGGCTGTCTGTTTGGAAGAGGGCATCTATCGGAGCTGAAGTTGATTGATAGATGCTTCTATCGATGCTCAGAGAATACAAATGCAGTCCGTTATAGTCTGTTCCCTTTTACATTCTCCATTACAGTAGTTTTATGGAAATATCATTACTTGCTAATTAGAACAGGGAAATATATCAGTGTGAGGCACTTGTTCTCTGCTGTTAAAATTATTTAAGGTTTCTCTGTAATGATCAATGTAGAGCCCAAAGGCTCAATTAAAACAAGCATTTAAATGTACCGTATTCCCACAACTAATAAACCTTCCAAGGCCTCAAGAATATCAAGGACACACTGGAAATCAGTGCTCCAAATACACATGTCCCTGGTATATAAACAAATATTTATTTAGCATGAGTGCTTGTGATTGTTTTTGGGCAAGTAGATATGTAGGATGGTGTTGTTTATAGAAGTATTCGCCTGTTGAATGAAGGCTAGTGCTACACGAGGCATGTGGCCATCCCTGAACTGTTAAAAGGGTGTAATTGTCTTTTTACTGCGGCCACTAAATCTCCGAGTGCCCTCACCGTGCTATCACAACATTCTGCCGATGGTCGTCGCCAAGCAACCGGCGTGGAGAGCTAACACTTCTTTCTTTATTTATTAATTTAGCTTTTGTGATTGATGCGCTCTGCAACAAAGTGCTTCAGATGGATGGGCTGTTTAGTCTCAAAATTCTCCATATTCAGAAAATATCTGTAAAACCACGGAAGAGGGTGTGTGTATAAAGTAAATGACTAGGAAATAGCAACCAAAATTGTAAACTGCATTCCCCTGCCATGTGGAGTAACAAGCCAACCCTAAAGAAATTCCAGATTCTGATGGTTTTGCGCTGGCAAAGCTGGTCTATTTGACTGGATGGACTACCAGCTGGAAGAGTCGAGGACAAGCATGTACATTCACTGGCACAATGGCTTTTTGATTTTACAGTTTTTTAAGGCAAGTGGTTACATAATTTTATTTTATCTTGAATTTAAATATACAATTTTGGTTGAACTTACTCAATGTTTTTTAGTTGTATTGGTTCAATTATATACAAGTCTGTGTTTTTGAGAAAGAGGCTCAAATTTATGTTGTACATCTAAAAGATTTTTTGCAGCTAGCACAGAACAAGCAAGCCGTTACCGTTCACTGCACTGACATTAGCATAGCTATTGCTCAACGAGCAAAAACAACAAATATTACAGTCTTAATACTGTACATGCAGCCACCTATAAACTAACCAAAAGCTCTAGTCTTCAGCACAGTTGTAACCACAAAACATCAACAAACATAACAGAAACTCTTTTAAATGTCAAATATAACAATAATAAACAGGTCTTTCCCTTTACTCAAAAATACAAAATAACACAAAAGCATAGTTCACCCCAAAATAAAAAACTGATAAAATTAACTCACCCCCAGGTCACCTGACCAATGGATCCTCTGCAGTGAATGGGTGCCGTCTGAATGAGAGGCCAAAAAGCTGATAAAAAACACAATAATCCACAAATAATCCACACGACTCCAGTCCATCAGTTAACATCATGTGGAGTGAAAAGCTGCATGTTTGTAATAAACAAATTAATCACTAAGACATGTTTAACTTCAAACTGTTGATTCCAGCTAAAATATGAATCCTCCATCCATAAATTTGCTTTCTCTAGTGAATTGATGGTCTGGAGTCGTGTGGATTATGATAATGTTTTTATCAGCAGTTTGTACTCTCATTCTGACGGCACCCATTCACTGCAGAGGAACCATTGGTGAGCAAGTTACAAATTAATGCAAATTACAAATTTTGTAATGCAAATTTCTCCAAATCTGTTCAGATGAAAAAATAAACTCGTTTTATCTTGGACTGCCTAAGGATCAGTAAATTTTCAGAAAAAAATTTGGCTGAATTATTCCTTTTATTACAACAGTTCCTCTCCTGATTCAGCCCTGCGAAGCATGTTGAGAACAAAACACTTCCCAGCTTAAAACAACAACAAAAATATTCATGCAGTCCCAACACAAATGGATTAAGTAAACTTCAATCTTACATATGTAGGTTTACTGAACACAATGAAATTAAGTTAAATTGTGTTGCTTTAGCTCATTAAGTAAATTGAACAAGCAGCAAAAAGTGTTATTCCAGTGTTTTCTGTTGTCACAACTGGTAGACCACCTTGGGCCAGCTACCATATTCCAAAAACCAGCTTAACCTGTTATTTTCCCCCAGAAGTGATCTGCTCACACTAAATATTGTGCATGGACTGCAAACAGTGTTTGAATAAACTATTTAATGAAGGTGTAACATGAGACTTTGCATTTTTAATATGAAGCGCTACTTAAATTCAGCCTCAAGTGCTTTATACCACGTCGTATCAAATTGTATAATTTCTCCCCTGCTCTGCCAAAAATGAACAATACACTTCAAACGTGTTGTTTGACAACACAACAGATTTCAGATGGGACGTCCAAAGCAGTTAGCAGTGCTCGAGCGTGTATCACATGATATCAGACGGGGAGGTGAGAGGAGGAGGTTTCTGCTCCCTTCTGAAGATCCCTCCCTGCTGTTAGGTGTACTCAAAATCACACAGAGAAGATCCAAGAGAAAAGTCAAGCCATTCTTCAAAGTGAAGTGTGAAAAAAAGATATGTTGAGGTTTTACTAGTCTTGCATAGATTTTGGAAAGCTCTTGCCATCTCTGTGTGCAATATGCCTCTGATGGTCTAGGGGGGTCCCGTCTAAAGCTCAGATTAGGGTTTTACTTAACTAGGATCAGTCATGTAATGCTACTCAGCATGGTACCTCTAATGGCTGTTGTTTAAGAGCTGATCAGAGGTCAGATAATAAGCCGGACACTAACCTGCAGCCATCTGCATGTATCCTGTCAATGTGCAGATCCTCCTCTCACAGGCTCCACTGGGCAGGAAGATGGTGATGATGGCCAGCAGGGAGCTGACTGCCAGCAGAGCACATCCACCTGAACACAGCACCGCACTCGTCTGCAACACACACAATACACAACATTTACAGATACTGCTGCTTTTATAAGAATTCTTTCTGTGGAATAAGAATAAGAAATCTTTCTGGGGCTTGATTGATTTTTACTACTCAAGCAATCCAAATTAAATTATTTTCACATAAAATGAGTTAATCTAGCCAAGATTGGTTTTAAATATGTAAAGGTAAAACCACAGATTTTTAATCAAAACTACACTAAACATCACATGGCTAACCATGTAAAGCCTCACAAATATAATATAATATAATATAATATAATATAATATAATATAATATAATATAATATAATATAAAATAGATATATATTATTTATTAATAATAATAACAATAATAATAGCCCGTTTTTATGTAACTATTTGTACTATGATACTATTTAGGCTGTTATTTATGGTACTATTAGGCTGTTACAGTAATTTAACAATCACAAAAATTCATTTCTCATTGCATTAACAATCTTTAAAGCATTCCAATTTTTATTTCTTCATACAGGATGCTTTATTTTACTTTGGGGTAGTCAAAACAAAGGCTGAAACAAGTTATTAATAAACAATATAAATATATTATAAATTTATGAATCTATAATAAATATATAATATATTAACACATCAATTACATTATTATGGATAATATAAACACATAAAAAATCATATTGTGAAAAACATATTGTGTTACAATAATACTGTTACAGCAAAAATCAATGAGTGTTTATACCATTTTAATAACAATAGTGTCACCGTTATGTCCAGTTTAGTTCAGTTCCTGTCATGTCTGTTATGAGTTCTCAGTTTCTATGGCTACTGATTAGTTATATATATATCACTATTCCGTTCGGTCCTTTGTCAGTTATTGTCTTGCGCAATGTGTTTTTCAACTCCCGCATTCTCAGTAAAGTCTATTTTGAAGTGTTAATCATTGTTTACTGGCATATTGGCTTTTTATTCATATTAATAACTGTCCCTGCTCTCCATCCACTTTCAAAACAGCTTGGTCATTCTAGTTAATATTTTCTTTTTTTCTTTTGAACTAAAATCATAAGTCTTTGGCACAAATGAGAAAATTCTAACAAAATTGTATTTTTTGGGTGAACTATGTACACTTACTATTAAACGTCAAGCACAGAGTCAAAGGAAAAAAACATTCAAACAGTGTAGATTTATAAGGTGTGAAATCAATCAATTTTTCCTAAGTGCTTACTCAGTGGGATCAATTTAGTGAAACAGCAAGTACTGATCCTTTAATCTACCACCTTCATCAAATCAAACGCTTCATCAGTCAAAAGGCTCACTCCAGTGCTACACAACGACCACATGCCTGGTCCAAAAACAAAAATGAACGCCATTCCAGAAAGCAGATGCCTAAAGTATGGATTTCTCTCATCTGGGCTTTTTTAAATCAGATGTTTGCTTAGAGCAGAGACGTGTCTTTGTTAGACTATGGCACAAAACTCTAAAGAGTACCTAAAGAGTTTGCGGTACAATCCCTTAAACAAAAACGTGGAGGGTGCATATCAGAGACAGGCAATTGATCTAACTCTGATGTAATCATGAATTATTGATGTGTGCACACTGATTTGAATAGAAACTGTGACTTAACGCTTAGATGTTGCTGTTGAACCAATCTTTTACCATAAACTTTACATTTGAAAACCAAAACAATTGTCATGATATATAATTCAACAAAGTGTCAGTATACACAATAGTTAAATTATAATTTTGGAGGTGGGGAAACCCTAAAATCTGATGCAAAACAACAAACGTACAAAAAAATAGGCTGCATGATCAATCAAATAATACGCACATATGAAATGTACAATATGCAGAAAATAATACACACATATGGATATACAAAACCATACTGTTTCGGATCATTCTGGTAATTTAATCCCTGTTTACAATATTATTGGTCCAAATAATCATAAAACTTTAACAAGATTTACAGATTTGCTTTGACCAAAAATATTTTTTATGGTAACCAGAGTTCCCCAAAAAAAAACATAGTTACTATAGTTATTTAACTGATAAAGTAGGCTATAATAAATGTGGGATCTTCTCTGATATTTTCTTTAAATTCTTTTTGGTACCAATGGCAGCTAATACAAAAGTTGCCTATAAAAATGTGGAGTTTAATTATAGTAGCACCCAGTGGCCCTAGTCATGCCACATTAAATCAAGAATGTAACAATATTCAATAACAATATTTTACTATTCGAGTGGAAACTATGGTTACCATAGAAAGATTATTTTAAGGGAATGACCATGTAGCATTTCTAATCTGTGTTCAGATGATGGTTTTCTGTAGGAAACAGATGCAGTCTTTCTGTAAAGGTGGGTCACAGGTGGCTGCCTTTCAGTGAGAAACATTCAGAGATTTCAAACTGAGATTTTCATTCTCTTCATTAGATCAGCTGGAGCTTTCAAATGCTGTTTTCGCACACAATACTGCAGTATCAAACTTACTAGACCAAATCAACAACAAAGTAAACAAAACATCAGTTAAAAAGCTATCAGCTGCACATCTCCTGCACAAACAATACACATAAACAACAGAATTTAGTTCTTAGGGCCGTTGTCACATTAGCGGTGCATATCAGAAAGGAACCACAATAATAATACAATTGCCACAACCAAAGCGACTTCATTACCTTGTGGTCCTAATGGCGAAGACATTATTAGCAAGAGTGGAAAGCTAATGAAGACGAGATGGCAGATTCATAGGTGACATCTGAAACTGCAGTTTTTCCGATGATAATGATAATATTTGTAGTAATTATGACTGTTTGTGCTTATGACAACATTACAACATCCTTTACAATAATGACATGTCTGCACTGGAAATAGGAAAAAATCTAATAACACAGAAAACGAAGAAGTAGAATGTCGCAGACACTCAGCAGAAACATATTTCATTCAAACAGAACTCATTCCCCTTTAAATAGTATTCATATATTCATAAAAACGTCTAGTTTTCTCAGTGCCATCTCTTGATCTTGCCATCTTTGAAGCCTTTAGATGAAATGAGCACTTGCCCACTGTGCTGTAAAACATTACCGTGTTTCATTACAACTAATAGAGACATATTAGGGCTGCAACAGATCAAAAAAAATTTTTTTTATGAAAAAATCATAAATAGGCTGTCTATGACAGGAATATTGATGACACTCATAAGTTAAACAAGCAGTTTGGATATTTCTTCCCTAATGTATATAGTCCACGTATGGCTCGGAAACGGAAATGTACTTTCTGAGGTCAATACTAATTAGTGGTGCTTGCCAAGTGTGCAGTTACTTTTCAGAGTGATCAGACTTATGATTTTTCATCTAGTGGATGATAAACTGGCCAAATAATTCTATTCACTGACACCAAAAGAAGGACCTGAGTCATTTCTAGAGACCAGAATCTCTCTATAGAGACTTAGGGTGGTCTCTTTTGAGTTGGGCAACCAGCCAGAACACCACAGAAACTGCATGGCACACCCTGATAACTGGCAATTTGTAACAAATTTATGTTTTGCCAAATTCATGGCAAATTTGTGGTACATTTTTAGCAAATCTGTGGCAAATTTGTATGAATATGTATGTTGTGAGTATTTATTTGTATGAGTTTGTAAGCTTTTGTACAATCTGTTTGTCTCATTGAGGGTTAGATTTAAGGGTGGACCTTCATGCTTACTATTTGTTAATGAAAATCATACATTTTTGTACAAATTAAATCATACAAATTCACAACCAATTCTTAATTTGACAGAAAATATCATAGTTATGTTTTCTCATGAGATTGTTTTGACAACATAAGTTTTCCACAGGCATCAGCTTCTGTTAACAGGATGTTAATTATGCGCAGTTGAGTGACATGTCATGTGACCCACATTTAAAGCAGTCAGATTACATTTGGAACCCTGATGGTGGTGGTTGTGTGGCCTTTAAGTTAAAGGGATAGTACACCCAAAACTTCAACATCTGTCATCATTTACTTACCCTCATGTCATTCTAAATCTGTGTGAATTTTTCTGTGGAACATAAAGATTATATTTTGAGTGCTTTTGTCCATACACTGGAAGTCAATGGTAACCAAAACTGAACATTATTCAAAATATCTCCTTTTGTGTTCTGCAGAAAAAGGTAAAGTCATACAGATTTGGAACAACATATGGTTGAATAACTTATGACAGAATTAAATTTTTTGGGTTAACTAGTCATTTAAGTAAACATAGAATCCAACACAATTAACCCATTCTCATGTTGGAGAGGCAAGTTCAGGTCTGACCCATTTCATGTACCTGTCACACTGGCTCTGTTTCTCCCCCTAATTTCTTATAATATTTTCATTTTCTGTATAAAAATAAAGTGCAAAGCACCCAAGATAAAATTAGACAAAAAGAATAAAAGAGAAAAGAGCTGATGATGCAAGCAGAAACCCTCACCTATTGAAATGCTAACACAGCTTAACCATTCGCCTTCTTACTCATTATGTTTTAGCGGAACAGCTTTGCATTTGTTATGCACCAATCAAGCCAATGTTATTTGTACAATATTTATTGCAAACAATTTCACGTGCACGCATGAACAATCAGCTTTGTCAAATCTGGCCCTGAGTTGCATAGACTAATTTTATTCATTCCTCACAGACCTTACTCTATCAACACACTGCCCAGAATTCAATTGTCCTTAATTAGTTTGACATTTCAGGCCTGACTTTTGCCACAACTCTTATGCGCAATAATTAAGGATTATGCTTCTGTTTGACACTAGAATATAAAATCCATGATTACAATGTGTCCCACATTGTACTTCTGAAACTACATTATATATGCACACAATATTCACACAACTCCAAACTCCAGCTGCTGTTCATTTACAAGAAAAATGGCTCCTAACAGCGCTGCCTCTTTCAGAGAGCAGGTTCCTAAATAGATGCTAATTATTTGCCTCTATACACACTGCAACAGCACTGCAGAGGAAGTGTGAAGGAGAGAGGTCACGCTA